TCCAAATGGGAACATCCTGTTTTCTTCATTGTACCCTAACAATCCATGTCAAGAAAAAAACATCATGTTCAGCATTCAGAAGAACACTCTTCATGGGATTGGAAGGTTCATGGACCGGACCCTTAAAACGTCTCCAAACCGATTCATGGACTCATGTAGCCCAATCTTCCGGTCCCCATTGCAGGGCTCAAGCCGCCTGCCATCCACGTACTTCCCCATCGGCGGTGCTTCTCACAAACCGGATTCCGCGGAGTTTGCGGGTGGGGCGCTTTTTCTTCAGGAAGCCAAGGGCTTCAAGGCACAGAATGACCTCACGGACCAGGCCAGATATGGTGGGCCGACACATGCAGGGTAAACCAGCCGGAGAGATGGGTCGTTAGGGAAAGGGGATGAAAACGGGGGCAAGTGACATGGAGGTGACGACGCGGGAGAAGACGAGTCACCAAACCACGGACGGTTTCGTCCGGAAAGCGTGAGTCCTCATCCGTGACATTTGTATGAAAGAAACTGTTCTGGCACTGAGCTATTCGACATCTGGAACTCTTCATGGGTAAAATGTTTTGCAGATGGTGCTTGGGCGAATTTTGGAATGTGTGAGCAGATTCCAAATAGCTGCAGGCTGCAGCTTGGCTGGCCCTATCCTCGGTTACAAACCCATGGATGGGCAACTGTGGCTTCATTGACATCATAAATACTGCATGCACTGATGAGCATCCAATTTGGAAGTTAATTATAGTAGTGATTTGGTCAAGAGAAGCATGATCTTCCTGACGACCCCCCTTTTCTGAGCCACATTTCAAGATATGGCCTGCAGGGGCCAGTAGAGCGTACCCTTGGAAGATCCTTGTAAGGTACACTCGTTGCTATTGACGGGCTCAGTAGAAGATATGGCCTGCGGATACAGGATTAACTTCATTCCCAACCGCCTGGCGGGCTCAAATCACTTCGGTCTCAGCCTTCCTGTCTCAGCAAGTCTTTCCCCAAGCGTGCTGCGGAACGAAGAAAGTCCATTTGAAAAGGACAAAGAACAGCAACCAGGCTTCTTTCCCTAGCAATGAGATTGGAAGATGTACTGATTGGCTTCCAGATTCAAGTTAGAAGGGCCACAACTGGCTGAACAGTCCACAACCTGCCCAGTTTGAGCCATCCGCAAAAAGATAAACTCACCAGCAGTTCCAAAAGAGGTGCTTATTGGGAAGTCGGGGTGCCCGCAGTGCCCGTATCACATCCGCTCACTTCGGGAATAAAAGCCATCCTACTCCATGTGACTCCTGGCATACATGGATTCTTGGGCTTTGGCAGGTCATTGGCCTCTACTCCAAAACTCAGGCGCAAAACACCCGCACTCGTCGTCTCTCCGCACGCTCCGCTCCGCTCTCTCCATTCTCCACACCCGTGGCCGACCAGTTTTCTCAAGGGGTGCGGTCCGCGGATGTCACGTTTACTCTCTATTTGGATGGCAGGGGTTGAGATGAATCACCCAGACACGACCCATGGGACAGGACCTTCCAAGTTCGGTGGTTTTGGGACACCTCCTAAACCTCTAAGAGGCTATTTACAGACACCTCTTGGAAGGTCCTGGTATGGAAGATATACCTACATTAACCCCCCCCTGGCACCACCGCAACTGATCGGCAGTCCTATGCCAGTCCCATGGAGTGTCTGGGTGATGACACTCTGTAACTGTTAAGACTGTTTTTTTTTTTGTGGGGAAACTTCCCGGAACTGGTCTAGTTGAGGACCAAGTACATGAAAGAACCTTAAGCGTACAGATGTTGACTTGAACAGGTTCAATGGGATGATATGGGATGTTCAGTGCTCACAGGGTTCCGGCATGTTATTTGTGTTACTTCACGACCCAACTCAGGGGTGTGATGTCTTAACGGATTGCTTCACACAGGGACTGAATTCAGTGGCCCAAGTCAATGAAAGTCATATAGATTTCAATAGTAGTGGGACATAAGTACTGACGGTTCAGTCCTATTGTCCTATTGTGGATTCCAGAAGGGCGAATGCGGTTTCAACACCCGACATTGTTGCTTGCTTTGTTTTTTTGCTTATCTAGATGACTTCTTTTCCCAGTTTGGATCCAATATGATCCAAATCTTGAAAATGTTGAAATACGTACTTGATGGTTTCTTGTTCCATTCAGCAAATCCAAGTTTTGTGAGGCTCTCCTTGCCTCAATAGCAAGAGCCCTCATAACATAGTCTCCTCTTCCGCCGCTCCGGCCAAGTCTGCATCCAGGATCCAGGCCTAGATCTTCCAACTATATAACTATAAAAAACAACCGAAGTTCGACAGACATTCTTGCGCCGTTGGAAGATCTAAAAATAGGAATCTTCCAGGGTAGAGATCGGAGATCTGATGTTTGTAGATGGAGATCTATGCTTTTTTGGGATTGCTAGAGCCGTAGCCAGCTGAATTGGAGCATCAAGATGTATAGAAAAGGCACACAACTCAAACGGCAAAGCCAGGTGTTGAGGAACTCCCAGTGTATTCCATGATATTCCATACCAAACCCTACGATACCCTACTTCCTGCCCATGTGTGGCTTCTGCAGAAAACTCTACAGCCACCACACCTTGCGAAATCAGGCGAAATGAGGCCAGATAGCTCTGATCGGCCAACGGATGGAAAAGCGGCCGGCTCTTTCAAAGGCCTCAGAAAGGCTGCAGAGGCGCAGAGGCGTTTTATTGTTTAAGGGGCAAGTGAATGAAACACTTTTGTTCTGGCCATGGAGCTGTTTTCTGCCATGTTCTGCCATTCAGTGAAGCAACACTTCTGTTTGTTGAGCACTTGTCCAGCCATTCCGTAAAATCGAGCCTTCGTGCTCCTTCGTCCAACCCTTCCATGGTGAGGGTGTCGTGGTTGTTCAGGTGTCATCATGTTTCTTTCGCTTGCTCCGTGTGATCCCTTAGTGTTCCTCGAGCTGGATCTCCAAGCCGAGCCAATCATTTGTACATATTAGCTAAGCCATATATTACTCCATGTATGGTAGTGGTAGCTTTTGCCGATCATGGTAATGGTAATGGTAATTCACTCCAGGTATGGTTTGCTATCTTTAAGTCCTATAGACTTATATGCAATCATAGCCATACGCTTGGTATGCCGATCCCTCCAACTACACCAACTGATCGGTCTAGTGCTTCTGGTGCTAGGCAGGTCGTGTTTGGGATAGTCACCTGAGTTGCTTCTGAGATATTCGGTAGATATCAGGAAGATTCCTAAGGTTGCCATCAAACACACCGAACAAATCCAAACAAAACAGGAGGGTCACATGCCTCCCTGAGTTGCTTCTGAAAGAAATCAGCGGTTCGTGGACTTGTGAAATCCAGGCAATCCTGGTGCTTCTGTGGGACGACTCAGAGTCTTCCCACAAGCACCGACTCCAACGTTTCCCGTTTGACGTCGAGCCGCTGCGGAGCGCTTCTGCGCTTGGATCAGCAGAGAGAAGCAGAGCAGACCCCACTGGCCTTGCCAATATGGAAGCAAGCAAGAAGCGGAATCTGAGTTGAACTTGTGTGAACGAAGTACTCCCAAACTATACACATATATTATATATATATATTGCTGCATTCTAGAAGCGTATCAGCATATCTAAGTAAGCCAGATTTGGGTAGTTTTCATGGTGAATCCGGGTGATACAGGACCTGTGGGCTCGCGCACCTGGGACTGGGACGTGTTTTTCAAGAACATGAAAGAACATATATAAGTCCAACTTCAGCGCCACCGACGCACCTCCGGAAGTGTGGATGACCATCAATATCCATCAATCCTCTTGTGAGTAAACCCCGCCAACATCCGCCAACACATGAAACTGCGAAGAATATATGGATGTTTACTACTAGGGGATGTATGAGAGATCCACAGGAGTCCATTGGAGACCCATTTTTCAAGTACCCGGAGCTAAGCATCCTTCCTGTTCGCTTTTCAACAGCCGTGGCCGTCACCTCGCGCCCAAACAGCATGGAGCGAGCGTCCTCTTGCGTCCGACGCGGTCCGTGGAGGTCCTGCATAGCTCGGCATGTGGTGGTTCGGCGCCCGGGGACAAAGAAAAAGCGGATGTTTTGTTCATCTGACATCCGGCAAAGCCTGGGACCCTTCTGGTCGCATGGATCATGGCTTTTTTTAGAGGAGGTCCGTTTGTTCCTTTGTGGATGTTTGGTGTGAAGTTCAGTCCATCCAGCCATTCCATTTGAAGTTGGTGCGATATCTAGCTCTCTCCGCCGCATGAATTCCGAATTCCCAGCGCAGTCCGGTCTCCCAAACATTGCCGCACAGCGAAGCGAGACATCTCCGTGCCGCAGAGATCCAGTTGCGGTGTGAAAAGAGACTTTGGAGCACAAGCGGTCGGTTTAACGATAGACAGAGCGGCGGGAAGTCCCAGAAAGGGGATGTCTCGTGCCATCGGGAAGCCGGGAAGCAACCATTCGGCTGCTCGGGTCGTGTGTGTTTTATTTTTTTTTTCGGAGACCGAGTGCCCTGTGCCTGTTGTACTTGTCGATGGGGTTGCAACCAAGAAACCAAGAAGCTCAATCATGGACACATGCAACCTGTAGGTTTGTTCTGTTTTGTTGTTTTGTGTAGACTTGTCGTTTTCCATGCATTTATGGGGGTGACCATTAATTCATCAGCAAGTTCAGGTGCAGGACCAGCCCATGCTGAGACTACGAATTGTGCATACGTTGAGTGATTCACCCTGCTGTGCTTGACCAAGATCCCAGGTCATGAAGTTTGGTTTCTGGATCTTCCCGAAGAAATTTCAGCCACATTCAAAGGAGTGTCTCTCCAGCTGTAACTCCCCGCAGCAAAGAAAGGATCACCCAATACGTCTTGATTGTCTTGGTTGTATGTTCAAGTCTACTACCAAAATGCTGGCCAAAAGCCAACAAAAAGAGTTGCTGAAGCCAACCAGACTGGCCAGGAGGCGAAACTGACCGCAACCACTGTAGCCTCCTGGAACGACGAACGACCACCGCGCTGAACCTGTGCTGCAGCTGTTCTGCCGAGGTCCTGAGCGAACTGCAGCAGCAACTGCATGCTCTCTCTCAAGGCGTCGATTCCGCGCAGATTCTGCGCTGCCGTTCGGTGTTGGACTGGATGATGTTGGAGGTGTTGCCCTCGGGATCCAGTCGTAGCTTCTCAGGTACGGTGATTGGAGACTGCTTATGCAGGCTTGGAGGGCCCAAGTACCTCCTGAGAAGGTATGTGGATCCCTAGGGTTGGACTGTTGGATACCAAAACCCTACAGGTCTTACGGACCTCATGAGATACTGGGTCGGGGAAAATGCAAAACCAGTACTCATTGAGGTCAAAGACCACATTAAACTCGGCCCGACTGGACTTGTAGGGAAACGTGCCCAACCTTCAACCCTAAGAATCCTTTTTTCACCCAACACCTTCGCAGGGGAACGGAATTCAACCCTTGCTATTGGAGAAGGGCAACTTCTTAGGGAAGCCCCTAAAGACCTGAGTTGTTTGAAGGAAAAAGAGTTTGTTTGGGGAAGCCTGTGTACCCAGGCACTCCGTTTGGTATATATTCATATACCGTATACTTTGGGGTGGTTTCAGGGGTCAATGTAGGTAAATATGGCCAGTCCCATGGAGTTTGGGCCAGTCACATGGAGTTTGGCCAGTCCCATGGAGTTTGAAGAGGAGTTCTTTTCCGAGCAAAAAGGCAACAGTCAGCAAACGCTTGTCACTCTGTTTGAGAAAGGCCTGCAGCCTGAGCATCATCGCTGTTACTGGTAATTGGATAATACATAAACAAGTTGTATATATACAACTTGTATAATCTTGTATATTGGTTCGCCATATCAACTGGGTTTTGTGGGGAGTGTAATCGTACCACCAGCCACGAGCATGGGAAGCGATCAGAGAGAGAAGAAGATGGAGAAGCGAAGAGCAAGAAACTATAGTAGCTTCTTGTTCCTAGTAGTAAGGCCAGGAGCCCCTACTAGTAGCACATCTATATACCATAGTACAGCCCAGACGCTCCGTTCACAGCCCTGCTCCCGAACCAAACCGATCGGGATTGACCCGAGGATTCGGGTCCAGCAGGGTACCTGCATTGATACATGGGGTAAATGTATGTACTGTAACTATTCCATCCATGGATGGTCTGGGTATATATAATATGGGAACAAGCGTCGTTGTTTGTTTTGGACTTTTGCATTTTTGAAGCATCAAACGTGGCGAGAAGCGCAGGTCAAATGATGGACTGGGAGCAGAAGCCCGGGCAGAAGGTGTGCTCGACCGTGCATGGAATGGGTTGCAGAGACCTCTTACTGGAAGAATTACTGTATACCATGCTTGATGGGAGAATTATCAACCAGTTTAGTTATGTTATATAGTGTTTTGCCTTGGCAAAGTGGTGCAGATCTTTTAGCATGTGCTTCTTGACTCTTTCCTATCCTTCGGGGTGATCGAATTCCTTTTTTTGTGTTCTCACCCGTCGGGGAACTCCGAACGGTCCTTTGACTATAGGTTTGGTTGGTGATGCGTGGAGGGAGGCTTTTGTTTCGATTCTTCGTCACAAGAAACAGTTCTTCCGCATATGTGGTTCAGAGCCATTTCACCAACAAAAGCCATTCTTCCGCATGATTCCGCATATGTGGTATTGATACATGCTGTTATATATCTTTTTGTTTGTTGTTCAGAGCCATTTGCCATATGGCCCGAAGCCGTCAGTGATCTTATGATCCAGTTAGTGGCAGCATTTCCCTGCACGTTTCCTCTACAGAATGGAACGTGTTGACCACTGAAATAAGGAGTGTTTCTAGGAAGCTTGTTTTTGTGTTTTTGTGTTTGGTATTTTGTAACCCGTGGTAATTTGAGTGTACCGACAGCATGCGGATTTGCAAGCGTGTGATTTTGTAGATGTATATGTCATACTGTCATACCTGGACATTCTTTTTTTCAGGTGGTTTTAGGCACGCCGGAATCCATTTTGTGGACAACTTTGCATTTTGTAGAGAAACATGTGGACGGGGGTCACACTCTGCAAAATGGAAGTTCTTTGTTGACAGATTGAAGACTAGCTGGCTGGCAAAAAGTTGCATCTCTACAGAATTCAGACATCCACAATATTAAGCCTTTTTAATGTCAATTCCACAAAGTGTTTGCAAATGTTCTTCCCCTTTCATCTCAATTCCAGAAGAATCCCCTCCACAATACTAATCCCGCTTCATCTCCATTCCAGGAAAATCCACCCCTCCACAATACTGGCCAATCAGAAACAGTGGGGTTAAGATTATTCAGGGGCAAAGTCGGGGGGGTCCTGTGTTTATTGATCAGAGGTGGACATTATAGGATCTAGCAGGTCCGCTCATATTGAAACCACACCATAGTAATTACACCACCTACCAAAAACGTCCAACAGTACATCAGCAAGCAATTGCCTGCCACCACAGATGAAGAGCAATCTGGAGCCATTCGACTTTTGGCTGAAGAATAGAAAAGTGCAAGGCACCCCTGAACCACTAGAAAAAGTGAATATATAACCTGCCCAACCTTTCTGGGGATTGGCTTCCTCACTAAAATCCAACGGTGGAATCAGTTCACGTCTCTTTCGTTACCACACGGTGTTGTCTCTTTATCGCTACCACTTGCCACACAATTTGGGCAGATGTTTATAATTACCTCGGGATATACTCTATTTTGTACTGTTCAGTCACTGACTGGCTATTACAAGCACGTCGAAATCTGGTAACCTGGGGGGTTTCAGGTTCGGTCTCCACTAAAAAACCACTCTTGATGGAACCAGGTCCGTGTGCCAACCTGGAGCCGTTTCCATCTCAACAAGGCCAGCGGAAGCGAAGGGCGCCGGGAGGGCGCACGGCGCGGCGGTTCGTGTGAGTGACGGAGGGAAGCCGGGTTTGGCAGGAGTTGCTTTTCACTGGGAAGTGGTTGCTCTTCGTGACCTGAAAAGCAACGTGTTCAAAACAAACATCTCCTGTCACACAGACGCAGGATGCGACGAGTTATCATGATTCATGCCAAAAGACATCAGCAGCAGCGCTTGCGTGCGGCAAGATCAAGGACGAATCCAAAAAAAGAGTGACACCCAGCCAAAATTGGGAAGTAGACCAATCTATTGTCCTTCTTCAAGTGGGGGTCGTAGCGCCTGGGAGGTCTCCCTACGTCTCCCTACGTCGACCCATGGTGTACGTCTGCCTGGCTGCGTCGATGTAGCTGGCTGCGACAACAAGTCAAACAGTCCAACCACATCAGGCCTATCCCGGTGTAGAACCGACCTGTTCCGGCCCACCGCCCGCCCTACCGCCCCCCGCCGCGGTCCGTCGTCCTCGGTCGTCGTTCGCCTGGACCGGTCCTGCTCGGTCCACCGGTCTGGCGCCAGGTGCACGAACGCTTGTACCTGGATGCCTCCGAGCGGCAGGACCCCACCGGGAGGTCACATGGGAGTAGTGCAGTGGAGTGGATGTGGATGTGGAGACGGGTAGTGCAATGGATGCGGCGGGTGTTCCCTTTTTTGGGGGGAGGACGAATGGAAGACGTCTTTTGGGGGCAGTGAACTTGTTCTTTTGGGGGGGGCGGCGGTGGTTTCAGATATATGTTCAATCTCTATACTTACTTTACTTGAAAGTATTGATCCCACTGAGCTCCATTTGTTTCGTTGGGTTTTGTTGAAACCAACTAGATGTTGTAGTTATGAAACCGTGTTTTTCTCCCCAACTCCGGATCCCACGGTGTACGTTAAAAAACGACTGTGTATCCCACGGGGCTGTTTCTTGCTTCACGTTGACAACGACTCTACCAACCTTGGCTGGGCCGATGCGACCGGCCCAGGATCGGAAGCGGGCCTTGCAGGAGAGCATCCAGCAAGCTCGGGAGTTCGAGGCGCTCGGCGTGGCGTCGATCTGGAAGAACCGAACCCGTCGGGCGTCGGGTCGGCGAGGACAGGGTGTCGAGACACCCAGCAAAAGGTGGAACAGACGTGCTCAAGCTTTTGTGGGGATTGGGTATCCCCACTAATTATATAGACATGAACATGTGGAAAAAGTTACCCGGTTACCCTTTATCTTCAGGGAACTGAGAGCCTGATTCAGTCAGGTGTTGAACGGTATTGAAGATGCACGGAGGCTCTGTTTGGATCATGTTTGGCGGGTGGTCCATGTTTTCTTGACCCAGAGGTCTGGCGGGGTCTCATTTCAAGACACGCTCGTGTGGTTGTGCAGTGGCTTGGCTTCGCTCCTGTCTTGGCAGACAGGAAGGCGTCCAATATACAGTACTAGCTGTAGGGTTAAGTCGAATCAGTTGCAGGGAAGTCTTATCATGTATGCGTGCGAGCAGTGTTTGGCATTTTGTTGTCAGTTTTGAATCGTGTTGAGCTTGTGGTGTGATGTTGTTGATCGTTGTTTTCCAAAATTATTTCCTGCGTACGCGTGTTCTGGATTTGTTTGCAGTTTTGTTATTTGTTTCCCGGCCAATGTCAAACTTGGGTCCTTCACAGAACATGTCATATACAGAGCTGCCTGCACAGAGAACCCATACAAACCAAACCCAGCACATTACTTTCTTTGCACATCTGACAGTGTCTGTCATTTTTTTCCATGACTTGGCACATCACCCACCATGCTACTGTTCAAACCGCGCACAGCGCTTCGCTCCGATGCCGAAGGTGCACTAAGTTGGAAAACGACACTGCTATGTGCTGTGCCACTGCGATTCTTCAGTGAATGTCATCAACACATTGAACAAAGATTTTGCTGATGGCTCACTGTGCAGAGTGCATTCTCCAATTCATGCCCTTAAAAGCAACTCCTTATAAAGCAGGTGTGCCATGCAGATTGTGAGATGTTGATGCGACTTTTGTCTGATGATGTGACTTTCTTCCAAATCGCCCTGCCGTGGGGTTGATGTGACTTCTGCCTGGCTGATGTGACGGAATCCCTGTGCTAGTACAAATACATCCGGGCTTGGAGGGTCAGACTACCGAGTGAGCACATACGTAGTTTCATCATGCTTCGTGTTTTGAGGAGTAATTAAGGTTTGCCTGTGCAAGGGAGGGGCGCCCAGACCCAACAAACATCAGGAAGCATGCGTTTTTCAGTGCCCCAAACACCCCAAAGAACCCATTTTTGAGTGGATAAGCACCGCCATCGGTTTCATGAAAAATCCGCTTTGTCCAGCGGAGAATCCATTTTTTCCCTCACTCGGTGCTCATACGCAGCCAGGTCTTGGACATCTTCCGGTCTCAACATCCTTGGTCCGTCGCCACAGCTGGGAGGAGTCTTCGGAAACTCTTGCCGGGGAATCGGGGTTGTTTTGATGATCTGACCCTAGGGCTCCTGTCCCACCCGTTTCGAAGGTGGGCCAGGGGTGGGTTTGGAGGGTCTAACCTAACCACCTTCTGAGGATATGATTGGAGGATGGTCCTTCCTAGGATGATGTCCTTGATGTTCGTGTGTGATGGAACACCGAAAGCTTCACTGCGCGATGGAACACCATGCGGGTTTCTGGGTGTGTCGGTCAATCTTTGGTCAGCCTGCCTTGATTCCAAGGGACCGACGTGTCCATGGAGGCTTGATCTCTAGGTTTCTTGGTGTAAGAGTCGGTTTCAGAAAAGCCAGCATGGTGTTCCATGAACTAATGTGTTCACATGTTGAAGTATATATAGTTCAGTTTAACCTTTCAACTGCTTGCACCTCCAAGCGGTTTCCATGAAGAAGTCTTCACTGGAGATCTAGGTACCTTGGTTCCTTGGAAATACGAGGTTCCTTACTGTGTTACACGTGGTCAACATGGTGGTGGTGGTGCTGCTGCTGCCGCTGCTGCTGGTGCTGGTTTTCAGTCTATAGTTGACCGTTCCAAACTTGTACATGTTTGATTCTTCCCACTGAGCTCCTGAGCTCCTGAGCTTGTTGTTCGTGAGTCTTTTGAAACGGACCCATCCGTTGGTTCCAGAATTTCTGTTGTTGGAGTGGACCTGAATGAAAGGTTCACCCGCACCGACCCGGTGGGAAGGAGAAACCAAAGGGGGGTCCAATAAGAAGCTGAGCAGACTCTGGACTGGGCGGAGCACGGTGGAAGTCTGGTAGTAATTTGATTTAAGATGATTTAAGGTTAATGGTCTTTGGTTGTGTGGCAGTGTCCCAGTAAAGCATAGTGAAGCTGTAAGAGTCGGTAAAAGGCAAATCACTCATTTTGAGATGTTTTGAGAAAGGCCCTTACTAACCAACATCAACCACTGTTATTGAGTAATGGGATGTACTGATATACGGATGTCTTTATCAAGTGAACCATGAGTTCTGGGGGCGATGTACATGATTCAAAGCACGGCAAGGGATTTAAATTTGACCAATGGACTCTTTTTCACAGAATCCTCATAGGACCCGATTCCGGCGCTTGCTTGAGTCATAGATCGCTGCCAAAGATGACTCGCACGTTCCATCAAGGATTGTGCCAGCTACTTGACTAGTGGAACGTCCTGGCGCCCAGGTTGAACGCAACCAGAAATGCGTGGGACCACAGGGGCAGCTGGAGGAGCTGGAGTTGTGGATCTTCATGAAGTTCCGTGATGAACTCAGCAGGGCTGTTTTAATATTCATTTCTTGCACGTTATGCCGTGCCTGGAATGGGTAGCTGTATTGGGTATTAGATACAGATAGACTGCTATATCAGTGCTCAGGGGTTCGCAAGACTGCTCGCTTGTGGCCGGTTTGAGATGAGAGTTCAATTCACTAGATAGTATTAATATATATATATATACCCTAGGGCTCCAACTACATCCTGAGAAGATGGTTGGGGTGGGTTTGGGAAGGTTGGAACTCCCCAGAGGTGTGAGGTGTATGGAAATCCCTTTTGAAGGTGTCCTGTTCTTTCGTGGTGTCCCCGGCGGTTCTTCTGAAATAGAGGCAGAAAGTTGGGAGGTGATCGCAATGCAAGCGTTTAAGTACCATACAATGGAAGATCACACCTGATAAAACCCATGTTCAATGTCGTGAGTCATGAGTCATCCTCTTATCAGTTGGGATTTGGTACTAAACGCTTTCATATACCACTAGGTATAGATGGATTGGTATTGGGTATTATATAGATAGAGTCGTGAGTCATAAGGCAGTTGGGATTTGGTTGATCCCTAAAGAAGTTGGGTACCTGGTACTACTTACATGTTGGATGGGCTGAAGATGGTGGGGAAGGCAACCTCCCTCGGTCCCTGCGAGCTCAACCTGTCTCTTCGCCCCCCTGTTTGAAAGGTTCCAAAAATGGTCCTTTAGAGGCCATGTTAGGAACTGGGATCATCCAAAAGAGGTTGAGAGACCTAAACTGGGACCCTAGTCTGTGGTACATCTGGAGGCTAATAGGGCTGGTCAACTTCTCTAGGGCCCAAGCACAAGGGTGTATCCAAGCTAGAACTTCACCATCACTGGAGCCTGGAGCCCATCGCCCTGCAACATCCACGGCCCTGAGAAGGTGTGACCACCGCGGCGCGGCCACGGCGCTGAGGATTTGAGCCTTCAAATGTCCATGGCTTTGTCGCTCTACTCCGCCAGCATGGAAGGAGGCCGTCTTTCACAGTGTTGTCCTTTTTCGAACCGTTTTCTTTTTTGGAAATGCAAGCTGGAAGGCACGTGCAATCTGGAAGCCCTAACAAACACGTTGACATTGGCAATTTTGATGCAGAGGTGTCAAGAAGGTTTGTTATTTATAGTGGCCAAGATCAGATGCATTGAACTTGTTTGTTATTCCAGCCATCAAAAGATGGACCATTCTTCCAGTGTCAGCTGTGAGGTCAGCCTCCCTGCATTATACATGAGTGGTTTACTGCCAGTTCAAGCAGGTTGACTTGAAGTAGGATGAACCTCCTTTGGATTATATAAGTATAATTATAATATGTTATAATTACATTGGACCGTCACTTGGACTCACTCAAATTCTTCTGAAAATTCCCAATGCCTTACAACACTTCAGTTGGAACGAACACCGGAGTGTCTATCAACCGACATACAGATCCGCTTTCAGCTCTTGCAACGCCGTTTCTCCAGATGAAGCTCCCAGTAAAGCTCAAAGAGCCAAGTCGCTGGGATTGACCTGCCATGTTTCAGGTACCCAGGTATCTTGAGAAGAGCAAAATTTGGTTTGGAATGCCCGCTTGCGCAGCGGCTTTAGTAACGTGAAGGGAACGTGAAGGGTATACAAGTGCACTTGTCGAACAATCAGGTATGCCATGAAACGGCAGAGGAGCAGTTTCGTGGGGAAACTGCTGTTTTTTGTTGCATTGAGAACTCAGTCGGCTCGCAACATGATGAATCACGTTAGCTTACTTGGGACTTGACACAGAAAACCATTCCGTGGGTTCTGACTCCACACCAACTTAGTTACAAGCCACTTCTGGGACTTCGAACAAGTGCTACTCAGGATAGACCAAGACCATGCAATAGTCAATAGTCCAAAGATATCCAATTAGAAGCAGGTTCCCAAGGAGTGCTACTTGTTTTTATCACTTTATGTGTATTTTCCTGGATGTTGCACTCCTCAAGATGTTCACCCAATCCCCAAAGCTCGTGAAACCTTTGCCCATTTGGAGGGCTGTGGCCTGAGGCCCCAAAGTTCGACCCAGATCAGCAGTGAAGCGCTGCGTGCCGTCCCCCAGGTGCGCAGCGTGTGCGCACGCGTTGCGAGCACGCAGGGGTGGGCAGGGGTGGACAATAAGTGTTTCACCATTCTTCAGTCCCCCAGTTGTTTGCAGACGGCTCAGGAGAAAGTCTTACCTGGGCTTGATACATGCTACGTTGATATAGACCGATATAGACCTTGGTGCTCTTGTGCACGAAGCAGTTCTACTGCCGCGTGCAAGTTTTCTTTTGACATGATACCAGTCTTTGGAGACCAGGTCAGATGTCAGATGTTGATGGCACAAGTAGAGGGGAAACAAGAATGGCGCGAATCAAACAGGATTTGGAGAATTCACCCAGCTGTCTAAAAGGAATCAGCAAGAATCGAAAAACATCACTGTGGATTGCAACCCTACACACTTCACTTTTTGATCTTCCAACCCATCTGTCCCTCTCAATCCCTGGTCTAAAGAACGCCCACGTCTCACTTTTTGCGAACACTCGAACGCCGACGACGCGGAGCTCATTCGGAGCTCGGACGCCTCACTCCGCCAGGTCTGTCCAAGACTCTGAGCCGGACCTTCACGAAGGATCGGGGTCCGTTCGGTGGGTTTCGTGGCCACGCGATGGCGGCTCGAGACGAGGAAGGTGGGTTTCGGGGCCATCGGGGCCGTTCGTTGGAAGAAGAAGAACGTTCATTTCGAATGTGGGTTTGAGGTGTACTTCACAGTGTACTTCCGAGGACATGGGAGAAAACAGAACACATAAGAATACATGAAAAGCAAACATCCAACCTCGAAGTTGTTGCGGTGTCGTCTGGAGCTTCTTTTCTTAGTCGTGCATCCTTCTAGTAAACAGTGCATTTACATGCATGTACTGCATGAAGGCAGACTGTCCCAAGGTGACATTGGAACACTAATTACAAGCCAGCCATTTAACCAGCTCTTTTCACCATTCATATCACGAAAGGTAGCGGTTACGCTACCTGAGTTTTCCTTTTGCTTTAGCAAAAATGTATTAACCCAGAGCTGCAGCCTATCTCTCGGAGAAATGGTCCCCGACATCTTCGTTTGCTGGCCGGGGGGGGGGGGGGCCCTTTCAACTCCACCCTAGCGCGCCTCGGGGTCAACCGTTCGAAAACACTGTAAATATCAGTGTTTTCAGCTCTTCCAGTCCTCAGCAGTGACCAAAAATCATGGAATTTACAGCGTTTTTTGTGGCTGTCCGGCAAAAAACACCGCAAAAACCGATGGTTTTTGATGCGCCTCGGTTAGAAAAATGACCAAAAAAAGACCAAAAACCAGGAAAGATTTTGTCAGAAAGGGTTTTTGAGGCTTTTGGAGGCTTCAAAATTGCACAAAACTATGGTATTTACAGGGTTTTGTGCACCTTCCCGGCAGAAAACGCCGGTATTTACACGGTTTTCTGCGCTTTTCCAGCGCTCAACCGTGGTGCGCCTTTGGATCGACGGCTACAAAATACCGTAAATACCAGTGTTTTCAGCTCCTCCTGTCTTCAAGCGTGGCCTTAGACCTTGCCGCGGCTGTGGATCGACGGCAACGAAACCTCGTAAATACCAGTGTTTTTGAGCACGTCCTGTTTGCAAGCATGGCCTGCGGCCACGCAATTTAAAGGGTCGCCGCACGTCACTATGTAAGTCCGAAGTTGCATTTGAGAAATATGTGACTCCTTTTGAAGGCACGTCAACCTGTATTGAAACCGCTAGACCGCTACAGCTTCTGGAGGTTTTGTCAAGCGTTTGTGCATTAGTTGTTCTTTCATCACGCTCACTCACTTCTCTTCAAACAAGTGGGGGGCCTCTCACCTCCTCCCGGATTACGCCTGATTCCCTGCTACCTTTCGTTCACCCCCCTCCTCTCTCAAGTGTTCAGTAGGAGCAGACGCAGAGACACCTTCTTTGTTGCGATGTTCGGCGAGAGGCCTTTGAGACAGAAAAGTTCCAATGAGGACATTTTAGGACTTCTGTGCGTTCTACGGATCTGCTTCGATCTGATCTGCTCTCAACATCACGGAACCCTCGTTTTGGAGCAATAGCATTACGTGAGGCGCTGGGTTCTGATGGGGGGCCAGCTGGTTCATGAACGAACAAAACACCATGAAATCATAATCACTTGGAAGTTCGGTTGACCTGGTTGAGGATGAACTGGTGAACTCCTTGTTATATATATATATATATTTGAATTGAAGTAGATGTCTGGGAGTTCCAGCATGCCGCCCCACATGTCCCCTTCAATTTCACTCGAAGAGACACGGTGACACGGAAGGTGGGTGAAATGGGTGACGCGTATATAGTCCATTTGGATTCATTTGGAAAGTTGCTGGGAAGCTCCAGCAGAAGCCTGAAGGCTATCTTTATAAGCTGTTTTCACCGACCTATTTTCACGTTTCAATGTTCAAGCTCCACGCTTGGCAGTATTGTACCTCCGGTAATCAACCAAGCATGCCACTCAAATTGATAAGCAAGAGGGAACACACAACACATCCTAAACATGGACAGCAAACATGTCTGCAATGGTACGATGTTCGGGTAAAGCTTGCGAGTGCCATCGCTTTCCTCGAAGAATCCAAAGTCTGCGAACTCGACAGTCTAATTGTTATCCCGCATCCAACAATGTCTTCAAGTCCACCTATCAGAACGTACTATCACAGTAGAAGGCACAATACGCAGGGAATCCTATCGCGACGACGACTCATGTAAACACCACAAGAACTCAATTCCCATTCATCAATTACCACCGTACACTGCCCGAGGAGTAGATTGCTGTTTCGATCCAAAGAATTGCTGAGACTACCCTGACTTGCAGTTCTATTGGGCAAAAAAAACTGGTCAGAAGGACTCTGACTAACGGTGCCTCAGACCTGAATTTGAGCGTCTGCCTGTAAGCGTTTGTTCTCCTCCAAAAAGAACAAAGGGAACCCTAAGGGTCCAGGACCATCCTGAGAATGGTCGAACTGGAGCCAAAGGACATCCGATTCGGATGGTCCTGGACCCTTAGGGGAAGGTTGACATCCGGCTAGTTCAATGGTTTCATGGTTTATACCTCAAGAGAGCCTTCGGAGTCTCATGATGCCCGAGAGGCTTTTCCTCACCATCTGGAGAGTACTTCCCGTTGCTGGTGTGCTCCCTCACAGGTGCGAGACGGGAGGGTTCATCGCAAGATACGGCGTGGGCTGAGGGTCATTTCATGTGAGAGGTGAGATGTGTTTTTTTAAAGGGACCGGTAAGCTTTTCTTTTTTCGTCCAAACCAAGCTGCATGAGTGAAACACTGTGAGCATTGTTCACTGAAGTTTGGAGGTGAGGACATCAGACACAGAGGACTTTGATGTGGCATCTTGACCCAGAACGGCGCAAAACCGTGCACGAAAACCCGCTCAAGGCGATGAGAAGTCGCAAGAAACAAGGCAGGGTGCTGGGTCAGCAGTCAAATCACATTTCTTTTTCAGCATGCTAAGAACATGCGAGGCAAAGAAGGACATGCTTGGTGTTGAATTGTGTTTTGTGGTGGTACTGTTTGGAAGAGCAGTGCTTACGATGATGTCGGTGATGCTGGTCACATTGCTTGGCATAGTCAGTAGTATTTGGAGGCAAGGCAGAACTATAAGACTCTAGTTCATTTGGTTGTAGCTGCACATGTCAGGCCAGGAAGTGCTTGCCTTTTTTATCCGAAGTCATGGACCGAGACCTGGTAAGACCTGGTCTTTTACCTCCAGTATTTTATGACTTGTAGCAACTCGCTCAAGGAACTCGCTTCGGTACTGGCCATGAGTGGCCAGTGGTTCAAACCAGCTCCAGCAAGCCTTGGGTTCAGGCTCAGTCTCAGCACTTTCTGCAGGCTGAGACTCTCTCCTCCCAGCCAGCCTTGGTTTTTTTTTTCAAGTCTACCCACAGGCTGGGGATCAGAGGAGAACACACCTCTCCGTCCAACAGGTCTTGCAGATCCAAGGTCGTGGATCACCCGGCAGCCATAAGAGTAAACTTATATAACATGTTTTTTGGTGTGTTTTGATGCCATTGTCCATTGGGATCTCTGAGAATTTGGGTGCCCAAAAGCAAGTTCTCCAGGTGTCCTTTTTGGAGTACCCCTATCTACGGAACCATACCCAGACACTCCATGTATATGGTGTACTCTCCCGCTCTTATATGTAGAAGCCGAGCATAATGATTTTAAAATATGTGCATGCTGCATGTTATTACATGTTAGCGAAATCTAGAAACACACAAGAATTGGAAACAACATAGAATGCAACCAGCTTGATCTCAGCAATGTTTTGCACTGGCATGTCAGTGCAATAAATGCGTTACTAGGAGAAACACACAAAAATAAAACAACGCGCAGAGTTTGGGCAGAAACATTGTTACAGCAGCATCACAGTAGTAGTGAATATGACAGAGTGTGCTGACACTTCACTAACATGGAAGCCATGTGTGTATTGATGTAATTTGCTGTTGAGCTTCCATGTTAGTGCTGCAAGAGTGGGTTCTATGTTAGTCTTGGTTGCTGACTTTTGTTTAACGTTTCCCTAACGTGGAAGGTGGCTATGCGTGTCAGGAGTTCCACGTATGAAGGCCTTTTTGGGTTCTCCACTTCCACATATATGTGCGAGAGTGTAACTACATTGGCCCTTGAAACCATCCCAAATGGCCAAAAAATCGCCCAGTCACTAGTCGTGTCTGGGATACCCCAAAGGCCCCAAATCCCTCCGAGCGCTTTGGCCGTGCGAGGCCCTGCGACCTTCCGTTGAGCAACGCCCCGCACCTCGCGCGGCCGCGCTCGGCGGGGCGAGGTGCGGGCGGGTGGTTAAGCCTCCGTGGTGGTTCAATTTCTGCTTATGTGGCGATGCCAGTTGAATCCGTGACTATATCCATATCATTGGCGACCATCTAGGGAGGATTGACCTTTGCGATTAGAAAGCGCATTTCGATGTGAAGAGTTCGTTGGTTTAATCTAATCCATGGTCCATGGATCTTGTTCAAGATGCTTGTTTTTGGTGGATACAATCCATTTAGATCTTCTTTTGCTAGAGGCAACCCAGTTGACGAAGTCGAACGCCGAACATGTTGGGTTTCGGCCAGCGATAGCAACACCTGCTAAAAAACGTGCCTAAGGATCATATGTCCATATCGCCAAGGGGCATGCCAATGCCTTTCCAATGCCTTTCCACACTTTGTCTTTCAATGCGAGTGGCGTTTCCTGCGGCGTGGCGCTCCTCTGCACACCGATTCCACAACCGAGCATCTTCTCAGCTGGACATCGGTTGATCAGCTGCGATTGGTGCAGGGTCGGAGAGTGCCGAATGCAGAAGCGCAGAGCAGGCGCAGTGCTGGTCCCGTCCACGGTCCGGCAAGGATGCAGAGCAGCCGCTGTTGGTGCAACCTGCAAGCTGCAGTGGTTGCTCCTGCGGTGGTGCAAACGTGCAATGGCTGAGGATGGAGGACACAGGTGGATGCTACACAACACAGGTGGAACCCAGGCAGGAGCAGGGTCCCACCAGGGCAAACTCAAATAAAGTATGTGTCACGGATTCAAGTTCTGTGGTGTTTGCCCAAACTGGCCAACCAGAATGATGCCAACACGGCCATCATGGCCCAATTGGAGCTGCAGATCCAAGCCGGGTGCAAAGTGCCATCTGCAGAGAAGTGGAGCTCATGAAGTTAGACCTCAGGCATCCTCAGGCATTGAGGCGTCTTTGTCTTCAGAGAGTTCAGATTTGGGGCCTTGAACTATGTACAGATTGGAGGCGTTGTTTATTGGTATGTTTCGCAGATTATATATATATATATATACCGCGCATCGCAGGGGTATCTTGGTTCTTAAACTTGGGTTTGGCATTCCCGTGAGAATGTCGACTACAGAATGGGGGCCTCATCATGGCCACTACAAAGCTGGCTTAGATATAGAAAGGATGTCCCAGGGAGATGTGGGGGCAATTAATATTTTAGCAAGGTGCCAAGAGAGGTTAAGTGACCCTATAGGACCCTACTGGGGTACCTAGTCTATAGGGTCCTTCAATCTCTGTTGGTAATTGTTGGTTCCTGAGGAATGTTGAGTTGTTTTCTCTAGCCACTGGCTTTTTGTAGGACAACTTGGCTAGCGGTGAATTCATACAAGGGGATAGGCCTGGCACGTGGTACTTTGCAGAAATAAGAATCCTTTTGTAGTGGGCGCATCTTTCTGAGAATGATGTGTACATCATGTATAGATACTTTTTGAGTTTGCTTACCTGTCAGGCAAGGAACGCCATGGAAATCGGCGCAGCAGCATACAACTTACTACAAAATGCCACCACACCTACTGCTACAAAAGGTGTTGCTTGAGAAAATTCCAACATTGTATGTACGTACAAACTACTTTTCCCTTCCTTTCCTATTTCGTTCCGGCAGACGTTTGGGCACGCACGCTCAGGACAGCACCACAGCTCTCCTCAAGTGTCTCGTCCGTCTTTCGTCGCGCCTCAACGATTTGTAAACTGTTGTTTCGAAAGCGCTAGTACTTTGCAGTGCCAAAGTCCGCGTCTCCAAGAATTTACGTACAAAACTGATTTCCAGTGTCGGTCTGCCCATTATGGTTTGGAATGTTTTGCAGAAGAAAACCGCCGGAAACCAATGATTTGCAGAAGAAAACGTGAAGTAAGATTATAGAGTCATAGAAGCTGTGGTTGTGGCAGCAAAACGGCATGGACTATCATGCAAGTCCCAACAAGGATAGTTGAAGACAAACAATTGCCAGCGATCATTTCAAGAGGATGTGGTTGTTCCAGTTCTTCCCCAATCCCCACCAGCTGAATCTGCGTGAACCAACGAACCAGCGGCTTTTTCCTCGATCCGTGTTTGCCTGGAGGCCTTCCTTTGAACTCCGAGGCGCAGTCTCGTGGGTTTTGGCAACAGAGAAGGCAGACAAGTGGATGAACTATTCACCCAAGGGCTGAAGGTATATCTGTTTCGAAGGTGTTATAGATGGGAGACAGAGGGGTCTAAAATAGCCACCGGCCGTGAGGTACTTGAGCCCTGTTCTTGTCACGTTTGTTGATGGGTTGCGCATGATATGGTTGAGGACTTCGATGTTCCACTGAGCTAACCCGGAGAGATTAGGACCATTCAGGTCGGCTTTGAGCACGTACACGTTGGCTTCATTTCAAACGATGCAAGGTGGCCTGACTTGTCGCCTTCTTTGTAAGCAGGGACTGTCAATCAACAAGGCCGGGTGGGTTCAAAGGTTCCACTGAAGTATGGGTGAATCAGGCCTCAGGTTAGGGGCGTAGTGGAGAACCAGGGCGTAGTCCAGGGACGCGTAAGAAACGCTCAGAACCCCTAAGAACCACTCCAGTCCCCAGGAAACCCATTGAAATGAGATCACTATGGATCCACTGCCACCGAAATGAGAGGGTGCAGTGGTACCATTTAAAGAGGTACTTGGATCCTGTAGGGAATACTGAATAGATCTGAATAGTATGAGTAAGATGCCTCGATGTTTTGTGTCGCTTTTATGACAACGTGGCCTCCACGGTTGCAAAAGGAACTTTCATGACGAAGGAGGCACGGCAGGCCACAGAATTCATCATTGGATTTTTCACAACCATTCAGGCGCTACCACCTGTCCCACTTGGAGGTCTTCACCTAAGCACAGAGGGAGGACCTAGTGGAGGACCTCTCATCCTTCGTCCTCCGCGCATTCTGTGCCAGGTGAAGAGGCGCAGAGCGCATTTTGGGGGGCGGTCTTCTCAGAGATGGGGTGTCCTGGGAGAAGAGTGATTGATTGAGCCACTTCGGAAGCATTTTTGGTTCCATTTCGAAGGGAAACTACGGGCTTCATTTGTCAGCACATTCTTGTTGTCTCGAGGATGTTAACAAGGGGACACCAGGAATGCGGGCGTGTATTGCAGATCTTCATTCGCAAGCTCCCTAGATCAGCTTACGGCATCAGTCTACTTTTATATGGCCCCGCGGGTTTGCCAGTGTAGAGATTCTGCCTCAGCGCTTTGGGTGCATGTCCGGCGCATGTTTCTGGTTGTTGGAACTCTCTTGAAACAAGAGACTGCTGCAGTGGTTGAAGCATGTGTTCTTCACCAGCTCACGTAATTAGAGAGCAAAACAATGTGTCGCCTCATCTTCAGCGCTTTGATTCCGATTTGTTAACCTTTGAGCCCCGTGGAGCGGCGGCAATTGCTACGCTGTGCTTGGTGTCCGGTGTTTCAGCCGTCAAGCTGCCAAGCTGCACCAAGAAGTGAAGTCCTTCCCAATCTTGAGTGATCTGCCAGGAAGCCATTGAGACCGATGAGCGCGGCAGAGGGACCCAACGACGCCATTGCGTTCGACTTGACGGCGGATGCGGACTTCCTTCCAGCCTCCAAAATCTGGGTCATAGTTGTTTTGGAAAGATGGAACTTTTTTTTTGCACTTTGCTAAAGCCTTATGGTCGCCCAGTAGCTTCACTGGCATGCATCTTAAGAGGGTGGTGAAAGATGGAACAAAAAAACATGTTTGGGAATTGTCAGGCCCACATGTGCTTTGATGGAAGGACGGAGACCATTTCGATCCCGGCCACATGAAATTGGCAATATGTTAACCAGTTTAGTGCCTCAAGCCAGCTTCCAATTGGGGCCGAGCGATTGCCATGTGAAGCATGTTGGAGAGAGGGTAGCACAAATACTTCCAGATGAGTCTCATCTTCAAATGTTGAGCAGAAAATAGCTATAGCAATAGCTATATGAGCCATATATGTAGTTTTATACAGTTTTCACCTGTTTGAAATTGGTCCGACCAAAGCAGTGGCACCATTCACAGGGCACCTCAGTTCGATTGGATTGTAGAAGCATGTTACAAAATGGCCCCAGTTAGCTCCATCTTCTTTACCTCAACAGAACTCCTTTGAACAAGCCATGCAGTCACCCGGGTCGGCTGGTTGGATAAATCAAAAAACGCTAAGCCTCTTCAGACCCCAAGCCCCTTTTTGAAGACCACCTGGACCATCAAAGACCTGGTGAGGCTTCGGGTTTGGACCGGCAGAAACTACAGGAGGCTGGAGCTGCTCATGGATGTTTTTTGGGGGTCAAAATATGTATTGAATTGAATAATTACAGTAAGAACAACCAACACATCATTAAGAGCAACCCAAAGTATTGAATTGTTGGTCAGTGTCGACCAGATTGAAGAGTTTTGTGTTCAGGCCCTCTCGGTTGCTGTGTTCATGTTCGACTGCGGGGAACACCTGAGCTTGAAATCTCTACGTACTCACCTGACTGGTGCGACCCGTAGGGAATGAGGGTGGCTGGATCCAAAGGAATCTCTATTGGGTGCTCATTCCCTCATTCTCTACGAGTCGCACCAGTCAGTCACTCGACTCCAATGTCCTCGGCTCCTTTAAGGTTCTGTGTGGGGTTGGTCGACCCGAGGACATTCGAGGACCTGAGGACACCGTCGTTGGGATGTTTGGAAAAGTGGGCAGTGGCCACCAGTGGTTTTACGGGGGACAGTCATTGGAGGGGTGCCCATGATCCACTTACTTGGCGTCGTTGGAGCCAGTGGAATAAACAAAAAACGACAGAAGCTGAAGATGTTGAGCTGACTTTTCAGCAGATGCACAGGGGGCCCTGACAAAACTTCATGAAAGAGATTCGCTGCCGCGCTCTGAGATCTCCACCAAGTCTATACCTGATATCGGCAGGAGATGGAGCGTCGGCACCCATGACGCCTGCAGTGCTGGCCTCATCGGCTCAGATGAGGCTCCGGCTGCTGAGCCCGAAAACCGCAGAAACCGTTGAGTTTGAGCTCGATGTGCCACTCGGATTGCGTCCGCTTCATCGTCACCCACTTCTAAACAAAGGAAAAGGAGCAAGGTGGAACCACTGGTGGAACCAGTTGCATCTTTCTTTGTCGATGATTTGCGCTTGCGCAGTGCAGCATGAAGCACAAATTGTTTGCGCGGATGACATCCTCAAGTCCAGCCAGGGCCGAAGCACGTTGACTCAGCGAAGCAAGAGGGTATGTGACGCGAAGGAAAAAAATGATAGATAGAAGAGAGAAGCGGATCGATGCTGCTGCTTCTGCTGCTTCCAATGTGCTATTCTGATGACAATGCCAGTTTTCGATCAAAGCCACGTTGAAAGAGTTAAAGAACATCGATTACGATGACACTGAATTTACCATTTCGAAAAATTTTGAATGCAAATGCAAATTGGTCTGTGGGTCTGTGGTCGTTGATACTGTCCCCAAGGGAACTCTGTAGACTCCAGCGTTTGGAGGTAGACCAAAACAGTTGTGAGAATCAAGGCGTTTACATTGGGAAAGCGTTTTTTTTGCAAGGACTATGCCGGGACCCTTGTCGAGGCGTTTATATATGCGTTTACATTGGGATATGCCTATGTTTTTTGACTATGCTAGGTCTTTCGCGTGTCGGGGTCTAAGGCAAAAGACAGTAAATACCACGCCTGGTCCATCGTGTTTTTTTTTCAGCACAACGGGCACACGAGTTGTAGCCAGCGGTAATGATCCAGAATCCACGTTTGTCATACGTATAGTTTTGAAACAACTACCCTTGAGGGAATCAATCCTGCGCCACGTTGTGTGGATGAACACTGCACCATAATGTGCAGATCTATGATGATGCATATATTCCATGTGCTGTGTACCAAAGTCTGAGAACAACAACCAGTACACTGTACACTCCCGTGGTTTGTGTCATGTCCTTCATAAAACTCTCACAGAGGGAGACAACTTGTTGCTGACGGTATATCATGGTGTAATGTTGTTGGATGGTCATGAAGAACATCCAAACATTAGTGTCAGTGATCAGAATTGTTGCTCAGGTCATGTCCATGATGTATATTAATATAATATATATATATATTATAAATATATCAGCCACCCACACAACAGCAACCCGACCCCAGCAATGCTTCTTGTGAGCGCTTTTCCTGTATGGCATTGGCAAGTTGTCTTTGTGATGCAAATGGACCGTGAGCAGCGAAGAAGTGCATCCGCTCAGTTTCAAGTAAGCAAATTAACAGGTTCCATCCATTTGTAATCCTTTAAACTTTAGAAAAATCTTTGGTTTTGGTCGGCCGTTGTTTCAGAAAGAGGAAGGAGGGGGCCGATTCTGACCAAACCAAGAGGCCCCCCTCTGTAGCCAGGTCGATGTGTTTGGTTCGTCACGCGCGTCCGTTTCGCCTCCAGGGCCTACGGCTTTTAGCCTCCAAGCCGGGTGAGGTGCGGCGCCGTGTCGGTGCGGCGCGGCCGTTCCGAGGTACGAGTATACGAGGCACCCGCAGGACGACCAAGGGAGTTGCATTCAATGTAGTTGCATTCAATGTATGTTAAATGTTTATGATATGCATGCAGAGCAATGATTCATTGGTATATAGATATTCTCTTCCTACCCTGGTTACCAATGCAGAAAGGGTGCTGGGTCAGAACTTTGGAACACATCATCATCTTCGATCATCCTTTTTTCACACATCATGACTGTGTGGGGCACAAGAGGCTTGGGGCACTCAAGTATTAAGTGGGGCTTGGTGTACCTGAAGAGGCTCGTTGTACGTCGGGTAAGTCAGCACCCAGGTCGGTGGTCACCAACCCGGTCGTGTTCGGGTGGGTTCACATAGACCGTTTCTTCCAACCAGCTGGCACTGGGCGGTGCGCCAGCACAGTTCCATTCGAAGCCTAAGCGCCGCTTGTTCATCCACTTAGAAATCAACTAGTGCGTCTGAGAACCTTCACATCTCCTCCTCCAAGTGTCCGCTCTTCACGATCGCCGAAGCCAGGCGGGTGCCAAAGTTGCGCCAGCCAAGAGCATGAAGAGGCGAACGAATTGTCGCATGTACCTATGTAAACCCTCGAAGACGATCCCATGGACCCTGAATACCACTGGTTGGTAGAGGAAAACCATCTTCCAGGGGGCCAGGACGGACCCGGGTCATCCCGGGTCTATGTTCGTTTTCGGGAGTGTACCTATGCTGGCAAGGGAGCTGAGTGATGAACGTAGAATCCAAGTGGGCAGCGAAACCATGATGTATATGAATATAGGTTGGGTCTGTTCCTATTACCTCTAACAGTCGGTAAACAATGATGTCCATTTTAAGAGATGTCGGTCTTCACCAGGCCATCCAGGCTGTTTCACTGGGCCCTGGGGGGGGGGCGGTTAGACTCAAAACATCTGTGAATTCTTCCGATGTCTTTGGCAGTTTCGAGGGTTCTCTCCCGCGTTTCGCGGCTTTCTTTGTTTCGCCCAACGGGGTGCGGTTGAAAGCGAGGAACGCGAGGACGCGAGGACGCGGCCGAAGGAAGATGGAGTTCGTGGAAAGTCAACTCAAAACAACTCCAACATGGTCAAGATATAAGCAACTAAGACCAACACATGTTCGTTGTAAAGTTGTTTACCATGAATCATCATTTTGGTCCCCAGCTAAATGCACCACTATAGGATGTTTAAGCATGTCCGGACACAAGAAAGCCTCTATGGGACTGCAAGCTATCAGCATGTGGTATGTACCAGGAGCGCCCCCAAAAAAAACCCGTGAAACATAAAGATTTTCCTCTACGAACACCAGATCTTAGTCGGGAAAACCAGGCTTGTGATGTTGGGACATCCCCATCCAGCAAATCCCCTCGAACTCACCTTCACACAGGCTGCCCTGGTACCCAGTACTGATCTCCTCCAATAGACGTCCCTTTGGGCTGTTTTCATTGTCTCATACCTGATCATTTTCGATCATGTTCGATCCTGGTGATCATCCTGTCCCAGAATGGTAATAGTTGAAGGGAACATCTACAGGAAAGCTATATGTACAGATGTTCCCTTATAGAAACCAATTGATTGCTCCTGGCATCAAGTGCACATCGTGCACATCGTGTACACGTCCACATGTAGGTCCCAATCACCATCCAAAGAGCGACTTGGTTTAACCATAACCATCTCCCATGACTTTCAGTTGTAGGGATCATGTAAGATCTATATATACCACAAAGCCATCCAAAACCTTTGTTGAAGACGAGACTGACGATTTGTCCATCATAGACTTGTCCATGGAGACGATGCCCACAGTGAACACATAAGAAATCACCCTGTCTGGACAATTTCTGGACAATTCACACCGACTGCACACTTGGAAGGCCCAAGTCTGTGGGTTCCTTGCGAAACTTGCGCTGCTTGTTGTGAGGCGCGATGGATGGTGTGAGTGAGGGATGGACAGCAAAGAAAGCCTTAGAAGCTAATCAAAGTGCCTGGATTTTTAGTTGTTTTTTTGGAACTATTG